AAAAAAAAAAAAAAAAAAAAAAAAAAAAAAAAAAAGCCATAACAGAAAGCAAAAATCAAAACCAAACTCTTTTGAATCCTAGTGTGGTGTTCTTTCTACTACTTTCATTTACACCAATAATAAATAAAATATAAATGCTTTTCCTAGATTATTAGGTGTATGGTTATATCTACAAGCAAGAATAATAACAACAAAAATATTATTTCTGAGCTGTTTGCTGTGTACTAGGCACTATTTTACTTTGGCTTTGTATTTCATTCTTGCTATATTTCTGCAAGAGAAAAAACTTTCATTACCTATACTCTACAGATAAAATAATTGAGACCATAAAAGTCAATGAGCTTGTACAACTGGCAAATTACAGAGTAATTATTCAGACCAAGCAGTTATACTCCACTTTTTATGCTTGTGAACATTATATTATGGAGGCTTGTCACTCAAATTTGCACATGGTGAAAAGGATGGGCAATATTTTATGAAGCAAAGCAAAAGAAAATCAAAAGAAGTCAGAACATCTTCTTACTCTTGTCTCCAGGTTTATAGATGGGTTTATCTGTCTGCACAAAAGTTACTGTCTCTTCTGAAGTGATTGCTACAGCTCTTCTCTCAGAGATTTTAAGAGTATCTCCCCTCACCAACAATGTGATGAAAGCAAGTTGTTCAGAGGACTTCCGAGAGACCTGTTTTTGTAGGAAAACAGAGAATAGAAAAATAACAATGCCTTGATTTGGCTTGTCAGCAGAGAGAGCCTTATAAATCCATTATTTCCTAAGGAAAGACTTGATCATCACTGGTTACAATTGATTAATTTATTAAGAGGATAGTAATTTATGTTTATATTCTTGCTTTCTATGTTGGTTTCATGGTTGTTGTTTCTCTGAATCCTCTCTTCAAGTAAATTGGCTTTCCTCATGCTTTTTACTATCTAAAATGCAGTAATAATTCATTATCATTTCCTATAATAAATGATTGGTAATATTTCATAAATTTTGTTGCATGTAGGAATGCTCTTTTTATTTTTTCCTGTAGAATTCCCAATTTTCCTCATATTTTGTACAAGTCATCTAAAATCAAGATTTGAAATCTAAAAGCAATTTTAAGCAATGTTTTCATGTTTCCATCTGCAAACTTGAATGTTAAAATCAGTGTCTTACCTTGAAATTTGCACAAGAATAGAAGGTATCCTCTTCCACAGACAGATCAAAAATAGTAGTATTGGAGCCATCATGTTCTAAGACAACATTCAAGGATACAGATTCATTAAGGTTTAAAAGATGGAGACAAGCTTTTTCCGTGGAGTTACTCTGCACCACTGAGGAGACCCATAGGATGTACTGTCTGTACAAAGAAAGTAACCAACACCCTATAAACAAGCTTAAGAGAAATGGAGAACATCCACAAAAAGCAATTTTAGCAATTGAAATATTCCTGAAACGTATACATTTTCATAAGTGAAATTATAATAATCTTGGGCAAAGAGAGTGGTATCTTAAGAATAAAATATTCATTTCCATCATACTTGCTTAAAATTCATAGGGCAAACAAGCACTCAGTCTCAGAAGTTGAAATGGTAAAATCTAATCATATTTAATATGGAGTATTTTTAATAAAGTCACATTGCTAAAACTTTAATATAAATAGTTAATGCTCCCTTACGGGTTTGATGCCACAGTCGTGGTGAAGTGAAGCAAAAGGGCGCACAGCAAAATAGAAGGCATCTTTCTATTCCAATTCCCAAATAATAACAAATTTAAGTTATTCTCTCCTTAGGAACCAGCTACCTCAGCTCTGCATTTTCTTTTCCTCTTTCTACTCTATATCTCTCTCTATCCTCTTGCTTTTATAGTTACACATAAAGGTCAATTACTTTTTGGAGCAAGTACCCAGGAACTCACTAATAACATTTAGATCACCTCTCCTATTACTTCTCTGGGGGGTATCCCTTTCACTAAAATTTCCTGGTTATTTTTACTGACTGTTGCTCTGTTTTGGAATCAGCAGCACAAGTTGGACAGGAAGAAACAGAAAAACAAAGTAGTTCGTGACAGTTAGAGTTCAAACTATTTTAGAACTTCAATCACAGGACTGACTATATTATCCAAAGTATTATGCATAGGAATTAGGAAAACACTTCTCTAAAGATCTGTTACCATATCACTTGCCAAAAGGTAAATTTTGCAGGCTTCTGGGAAAAGAAGTATTATCGATGTTGCCAAAATATGATGCAAACAGATATCTCAATATGGGATCATTTTACGGGTAATTGAAACTGTCAAGTTGTTCTATAATTTCATAATACAAAATTCAACACTTGAAATGTTTATCTACCTTCAACACTTAATATGATGTCTTGGGGAAGTACTATGCTCAACTTTCCAACATAATGGTTAAAGAAATGAAAGAACGTTCACACAGACACACATGCACACACACATACACAACTTCTTGACAAAAGTACTTTATAATACTTTTAACTTAGAAACCACTTGTCAAGTATCCCAGTCACTTTCTCTTCATTTTTCTTTTTTTTTTAAGTGTTCAAGACAAGCAAACTTGAGAAATTCATCACCATTAGACTATTCCTACAAAAAAATGCTAAAATGAACCCTATTTCTAAAAGAGGAAGGGGTATGACTATCATCATGAAAACATGTGAAGGAATAAAACTTACTGGTAAAGAATATACACAAACAAGAAAGAGAAAGAACTAAACCCTATCACTATAGAAAGCAAACAAGCTGCAAAAGATTTTAAAAAACAAGAGGAAAGTGAACAGAGAATATACAAAGCAATAAAAAAATTCACAAAATTACAGGAGTGAATTCTTACTTATCAATAATAACCTTGAATATAAACAGATAAAGAGTGACTGAAGTTAAAAAAAAAAAGGACCCAATTGTATACTACCTATACAAGAAACTTCACCAGTAAAAATGCTCATAGATAGGAAATGAAGTGGTGGGAAATAGCCTGCAAATGGAAACCAAAAGAAAGCAGAAGTGTCTATACTTCTTTTAGATAATATAGGCTGTAGGTCAAAAATAAGAACACACAAAAAAGGACATCAATTCAAAAAGAAAAAGAATATCTATACATATATATGAGCCCAACACTGCAGCACCCAATTAATTGCAAAGTGTCTCCCTCCTCTCCTTTTCAGATGGTCAGTGATTGCTCAGGAGCCTTCATGAGGTAGGAAAGTCACCAAAGGTAGCTTCTTAGTTTAACCCAGACTCCAGCCTCAGGGAAGAAAGTCCTTAGAGGACACTTCCTTTCTCCATGTCCCTGGGTTAGCTGTACCACATATGCATACAGATGTAGGCTATGACAGTCAGGAATGGCCCTGTGCTTCATTCAGGAGTTAGAATGCCATGTGGCCAGATATCAGAAAGCATGTGCAGAATGCGTCATCTGAGGACATGATCATGCTCTGTGGTGGTCACTCTCGGTTCCAAGACCTAACAAAGGACCACAAATACATTCTAGGCAGAAGCTGTAACCTTTTCTTTAATTAACTAGCAAAGTGTCCTATGTTTCCACCCCCACCTACTGAGGGCTGGCCAATGAACTTTAAAATGTATAAATATATGGAAAATAAGTAGCATAGTATTGAGTTACTCTTGTATCAAGTTAATGAAGAAATAAAAAAATTAAAAACTTTCTTGAAACAAATGAAAACAAAGAACAATATAAAAAGACCCGTGGGCTACAGAATATAATAGTACTAAGAAGAAAGTTTATGGAAATAAAAACCTACTAGTACATTAAAAAAAAGAGAGAAGTCAGGCACAGTGGCACACATCTGTACTCCCAATGCTCTGGGAGGTGGAGGCAAGAAGATTGCAAATTTAAGAGCAGCCTGGGTAACCTAGTGAGACCTGTTTCAAAAATAAAAAATTAAAAAGGACTGGGGATGTAGCTCAGTGCAAAAGTTCTGGGTTCAATTTCCAGCACTAGTGAGAGAGAAAGAAAACTAGAAAAACAAGAGTGAACTAAATCCAAAATTAATAGAAGGAAAGAAAAATAAAGATTAAAGCAGAAATAAATTCAATAAAGATCAAATAAATGACTTTGAAGATCAATGAAACAAAGTAATTTTTGAAAAGATAAACAAAAGCAGCAAGTCTTTAGTGAGGCTAACCAGTTTAAAAAAAGAAATAAAATCAGAGATGAAAAGAGCAATCTTACCATAGGTAATACAGAAATACAAAGGATCATTACAGATTATCATGAAAAAATGTATGCTAACAAATTTAAAAACCCAGAATAAGTGGATACATTTCTTCACACATATAGCCTATAAATATTGAACCATGAAGACATGGGAAACATGAAAAGACTAATAAAAAGTAATGCAATTAAATCAGTAATAAAAGATTTATAATAAAAGATTGCCAAACAAAGGCAATCCCAGGATTTGATGATCTCATTGCTGAATTCTACAAGACACTTTTTTTTTTTCAGTAAAGGGGATCAAACTCAGGACCTTGCACTTGCAAGGCAGGCACAGTGCCACTGAGCTAAATCCCCAGCCCTATAAAACACTTTAAAAAGACCTAATATAAATATTGTCAAATTATTCCAAAAATTAAAAAAGATGACTCTGCCAAAATAATCCTATAAGTCAACATTGCTCTGTTGTCAAAACCAGACACAGATTGTTTTAGTTATTCTTGTTGCTGAGACAAAATGCTGGAAGCCCAAAGTTAAAGGAGGATAGGTTTATTTATCTCACAAGTTGTAGTGGTTTCAGTCCATAATTGGCTGGCTCCAAGGTAGGACAGCATGGTGGACAGGCATCTCAGAGGAGAAACAGTTCATGGTGGGCAGAAGGTAGCAAAGCAAGCAAGGCAGGACAACAGCTTGTTCTGTCCCTTATATCTTATCCAGGCTACTTAGGGCAGGTAGCACGCACACCTTTAATCCTAGGCTGTAGATGCTAGCATTGCATCATGAATCAATCCCAGCCTCACACACTGATCCAGCCACCTCTGAAAGAGCCCACCTGTGATGGCAGGGGGCTTTGAGGGGACATCTAGACACAGACCATAGCACAGCCATAGCAATAAAAGAAAACTACAGACCAGTATCCCTGATGCACATAGATGCAAAAATTCTCAACAAAATGTAGCAAGCAAAATCCAACAATACGTGAGATAGGATACATCCCATGTTCAAATAGGATTAATTGTGGGTATGCAAGTATGCTTCAATCTACAAAACTCAATGAATATAATACAACACATCAACACAATGGAGAAAAAAGCCATACAATCATCTCAATAGATTCAGAAAAATCACTGAATGAAGTTCAACATCCTTCAAGACTAAAGCCCTGAGTAAATTAGAAATAGAATGTTTACACCTCAACATAAAAAGACTGCATATTACAAACCTATAATGATCATCACAATGAGTGAAGAAAGGCTAGGAGCATTTCCTCTAAGATCTGGAACTAAGCACAAATAATCCATTTTCACCACTCCTATTCAAAATGGCACAGGATATTTTAACCAGACCATTAGTCAAGAGAAAGAAGTAAAAGACATCTAATTTGGAAAAGAAATTGTGTTATTTCTGTATGCAGATGACATGATCTTATATATAGAAAAGCCTAAAAACTCCACCAAAAAACTGTTTTAACTGGCAAAGAAATTTAGTAATGTTACAGGTATAAAGTGACTAAACAGAAAGCAGTAGCATTTTAATACAGTAATAATAAATTGACTAAAAAGAAATAAAAACATTGTCATTCACAATTCATTACTAGGAAAATTTATTTAAGAAAATGGAATCAATATCACTCCTAGATATATATCCAAAGGAGATGAAATGATCATATCAAAGAATGGCTGTAACCCCATATATATCGTATCACTTTTCATAATAGCCAAGATATGGAATCAAGCAAAATATCCATAGATGAATGAATAAAAAAGGTTACATTTATCTATACAGGATATGATAATATTCAACCATAAAAACAATGAAATTCTGTCCTTTGCAGTAACACTGATGACAATGAAGGACATTATGCTAGGCAAAGTAACTCAAACAAAGATAGGCATAAAATCACATATTCTTACTCATTTGTGGGAGCTGAAAAAGTTGATTTCATAGAAAAAGAAAACAGATCACTAGAGGCTAGGAAATGGAAAAGGACAGTCCTAATGTTACACAGCATATAAGGACTACTGTAGGTTATAACAACTAGTTAAACATTTGAAAATAACTAGAAGAATTAGAGAGTTCTAAATGCATAGAAATAACAATATATGAGGAGATGGAAATGCTAATTATCTTGATTTGATCATTATACATCATATGCATATCTCAAATTACAGTAAGATATCAAATAAATGAGTACAAATATGTCAATCTACAAAATGTAAATCTCAAGGGAAAATCAGTAAATTGTAATATCCTTACAAGCTACACAAGGTAGAAATGCCTATTATAAATAAATTCTTATAAAACATTTTAATATTCTAAATTTATACTTCATTCAAACAAATAAAATCAGAAAAGAAGGAAAGAAGAAAACAGGAAGGAAGGAAAGGAGACAGGGAGAGAAGAGAGAGGCTTGGAAGAAAAGAGGGAGAAAAAGAATGAGGAAGAAAAAAGAGAAAAAGAAGAAAAGCAAAAGAAAATAACAAGGCGAAATTTCCATTGTGGTTACGTTCTCCAGGAAATGGCTCTCATTCTGCATCAAGATACT